AATAAGTGATAAGAATTTTCAGCAACAGTTCTTTATTATTAAACATCTGTCGCCGCTTTATCGACATCTGGAGCACAATTTTTTAGTCTTATAATATCGCTCGTACAGCGTCAAACCAAGTGAGAGGGTGACACCGAGCAGAATCATCAGGGTGAAGGATATGAGGGCAAGTGGACTGGGTAGGAGTGTCGAATGACCTATGCTGCTAATAAAGTTGCTCATCCAGGTGAAGAAGCTCCGGGTGTTCTGCTGATATTGCACGGCAATCTCATGACCTACCGGATGCCACGTCACATACCTTTAGTCATAGAAAGGTGGGACAAAACTGTGAGTTTCGTTTTGTCGAATGAAAATTCATATTTCTATCACTCCATCAAGAAATATCAAAATAAAGCCCACGAGCAATTGCTATTTTTTTTCTTTTTTTTTCTTTTTTTTCTTTTTTTTTCTTTTTTTTTCTTTTTTTCTTTTTTCATTTTTTTTCTTTTTTTCTTTTTTTTTTCTTTTTCTTTCTTTTTTTTCTTTTTTTTCTTTTTTTTCTATTACCTCTATTGTCCTTATTATTGTTGTTAATATTTTAATGTTTAATTCCCGAACGTGCGTTGTAATCACCGTCAAGTTTCCATAAAGTCTTAATGAAATATTTTCACCACAATTGAATGAATCGAATGAATTTGGGACATAATACGTGAAAATATCAGAATAACGGAAAAATTCGGGAGCTGATTTTTTTGAAAATCAATGGAAAATTGGAAAATAGCAAAAATTATCTGATAAATTATGTCAATTAATATAGCCATGGTAATTAGTTTAGTTTATAGTTTCAATAGTATCCTGTTGATATATTGATATATCGTTGAGAGCTCCAGTCAAATGTAATTGAAGTAGAATATTCCGCGAGAGGCCGAGGATTCAAATATTTTTAATGTACGAATTTTGGGCCATCTTTTTTGTTATCGATTCAATTCATGTTGCTATTATTTTCATCTTCCAACTTACTCAACGCAACATCGAAACAAATTTTTTAAACCTCTACTCAAGCGTTTAATACTTTTTTTTTATTCAGTTATCCACAAAAAAATTAATTTTTGCAAAAATGTATTGTAATTAATATCGACGACTGATAAGGCTCATCGATACGTACATCTACAAAAAAAAAATTATAATAGGTTCCCAAAAATGAGCACCTGCATTTCCGAAATTTCCCACGATTTCAATATTTCCACTCGTAAGCAAAAACGATAGAAGACAATAATTTCTACCGAAAACCAATAATCCATTGATTTTTTTCATTCAAATAAAATTTAACAGAATATCTAGGATGAATCACTGAATTTTCCAATTAATATTCATGATCCATAACATTGTACCCCGAAATTTATCTTCCTAAAAAAACTTCACCTCATGAAATAATAATGATGCCTCGGGGTGCCGATGTCGCCTTCCCCACAAATCGATAAAATCGCAAACTTGAACCTCACTCATTACACCCCCACATTCCCCCCGTCCCCCCCATAATTGCTGTCTTGATGATGAGCGCTAGTCTTTGATGATTTTCCTCGCATGAGTGACTGCAGCAGTCTAGTCGATCTCTTTGGGGTTGCTGAAGCGCTGCACCTCACCACCGGCAAGTCTCTTAATTGTAACGAGTCCTGTGAGTGCTGAGTATTCTCATTGCACTCAATGGGTTCATCAACATTTCGCTTTTCAATTATTCCCGTCTCATTTGAATATTCCCGGGCTGTATCGCCCTCGGATCCACCGGAAATTCTCTTTCTCGTAGCGTCATTATGCGCTTCGCTCGCACATTCAAAAGCACAACAATGCTGACAGTCATCGGCACAGCCACGAGCATCGCCACTGCAGTTACACTGACTCGCTGTTCTCGGTGTTTCTCTTTTCCTTGCTTCCGGCGATTCATTGCAATTGTAGGAACAACAGGATTGGCAGTCATCGGCACACCCACGCGCATCATCACCGCAGCTACACTGACTTTTTATCCCCCTGACTTGTTTTTTACCGGTCCCCTCCACGTCCGTGTCGATTTCATGAGTACACGATTCACAGATCAATTGACAATTTGAATAAATCGGTTGGTGAAAGGCAGACTGACCTGGTCGTCTGCAGGGTGTCATGCAGCCTAATCTGCTGGCGGTCTGGGGTCTACCGGAGGCACATGGTGGAGTTGGTGGTCCCTGACAGCCTGCGCACGACGGTGGCCCCTTGAAAGGTGGACAAGATGGCTCCGGTGGACATGGCGGGAATTTAACCACCGGTGGTCGACATTTTGTTGACGTACACGGGTCGCATGGCGGTGGAAGACATGGTTGACACCTGGAGCAATTGCACTTGGGGCCAGGCTGTGGTCGCGGTGTTGGACAGCACAGTTTTGCGTTTGGGCATCGGACCTTCGTCTTTGGGAACTTTCTTTCACTCGGGGGGCACGCGCATTCGGGGGACGAGGGACACTCGCACGAGCATTCGCGGTCCGCTCGGGCGTCAACCTGAGGGGGTGGCGGGCAGTTGCAATTACGTGGCATTGGCTGGCACATGCAGTAGTTGCCGATGCACTGACAGCAACTGCGGGGCTTTAGGATGGGTTTTGGTGCTGGGGCACAGGGTTGGTTGGGGTTGGCCGTGGAAGAACCTGGATAGCCCTGCTGGTCCTCGCAGGAGCCTCCCCCGCAAGCACCTCCAGATAATCTTTCGTCGAACGTGCAGGGTTTGGTGGTGGATGAACAGGGGTTCGCGGTTTGGACGCAGGGTCTGCAAGGGGCTACTCGTCTTCTAGAATGGATCATTAAAATTAGGGCCTCGTCAAGGTGAGACGCAATTTCATTGAAAAAGTTTGCGCTATCTCTAGGAAAATCGCATTCCAAATTTACCAACTGTAAAATGTACCCCGCGGGGTTAAACAGACACTCATTACTTTCGAGAAAGCGCCACATTTTTCCGGTATTTTTTGTATACATGTTGTATCACGCCGATTCACTCGCGAACTTTGTGCGCAGGGTACTGCGCAGCTGGCGCATACGTATTGCGCAAGCGATTGAAAATGGGTGAACGAAAAAGAAACATCGCCGTTTTGAAATTGAATATCTCTATTTTGCGGAAACATTCCGGAAAATTTTACTTTGAAGCTAACCGTCTCTACAAAAGGGATCAATTAATAGTGACATACGGTGGAGCACAGCGGCAACACTTGCAGTTATTTTTCCTTCCATGATCACTCCACTGTCTTCTCAACTCGCTGAAATTCGAGAGCCACTCGCAATTCGGTCTAGGTGGTGAATTACTGTTCCATGCCTCTTCCTCAGCGCACTGACACGGTCCAGGGCACGCTCCAGTGGCGGCTGTACCTCTCGGTCGAAATCCCCCGCAATCTGCCCTGTCCAGGCACCCTACGTTCTCTTGACACATACAAGATCGTATCCGCGGCTCGGACGCCAGACACCCGGATCTTCCCCCGGCACAGCTGGATCCTGCATAATATCATTTTCCAAGTGGCTTTATTAGACCTTGTCCCCAGTGGGACAAAAAGAGAATTTTTCATGAGGAATATGGAGATAAAGGTATCAGGCCCTAGGGAAAGAGATTTACCACAGCATCCAGTCCCTGGAAAACGTTCGCCACTAGCAGAACCTTCGCAGCAGGACATGATGAATTTTATTATAAATTGTATAAAAATTACCCAATAACCAAAAAATCGGGTCTACATCTTGATGGATATTTTCACTGAGACGAGCATGTTTGGATTATTGAAAAACTAAATGTAGAGAAAAGATGAATGACGGAATTGAACTTGTCATTGTAATTAATTTTATTTTTTCTGATATTTGCACTGTAATTTAGCGTTGATGTCCAAAGTTTATTTTTTGAGTGGTGTCTGGAGATTCAAACAGGCGCTATATTCATGGCATTGATCTTCAGGT